GATAGATTGCTGATTAAAATGTAAAATATTTAAGATTTTATATTCAGTACATTCTCAAATGTTATGTAAATCTCATATATTCCAAAATTACGTTATATTCATGCACCGAAGTAGAAAGTTTAACTTTAATGTTGATATGTTTTATGTTGAATGGTTTTTAATGATATTATTACAGTCTTATGACCACAACATAAGGAAGTCCTCTCATTTAAACTTCTAACCTACTATACTTTGCGTATCTTAATACACATATATATTTCCGTAAATCAAGGAAGTCCACTCGGTAAATTAGTATATAGTGAATTTTGTATGTCAATCTCAGATATCCAAATTTTAGGAAATTACGTTTTATACATGCACCGAGATGAGAACTTCAACCTAATACTTTGATATGTATATGTTTTATGTTGTAATACCATACTCAAATGTACGGTATTATTTATTTAATAAAATAATATTTAATTTGTATACAATAAAATTTTATCAATGAGAGAACAGATAATGATTTCAAAATATTGTATATACATGGAGACTTCATGATCAAAAGTTCTTGCCAAGATTTGGTATGTTGGTCCCTGGCGCGGCTGGGCTGCTGGGCTGCGGCTTGGTGCCTGGAATCGTAAATAGGCCGTGAAGTAAAAAGTTTGCGGAACGCTGAGTTAGAGCATGTTAAAACAAAAAATAGGTACCTTTCAATATTTAATAATAGGCTCTATTAGGCCTATCTATTTTCTTCCTCCATGATTACAGTGACACTATTAAAATTCAGAGACGGACAAAAATTTACTTCCGCCATAATATATTGTACAGTAAGCCTACGATTTCTGGATCACTTTTTGTTCAGGTCATCTAATAGGCTTGAAAATATCAATATAATGACGTTTGAGTAACAAAATTCATTAATTGTTTTTAATAGAGTGTCACTTTGATACCAAAAATTAAGGCAGAATTAAGGTGGGTAGTTATGCAGCCGTCCAGGGCTCATACATTTTTGAAAATTAAAAGAAAATATTTTGTCAAAAGCGTTGTATTATTAGATTACTCGGTAGTAGTAAGTAGGGGCCCATCTTTCCGGGACTAATTTAGACATGAAGGAAGTAAGTGTTTCCCCAGAAAGCACACCGGCATTACATAACTGGTCAAACCTCCATAGTGGGCATCCAGGGGCATAGTTTAAATAACCCCTTCTAATAAATCTGCCAAATATTGTGCTTGTGGGATTTTGGTCTGGGCCTGTTTGGTTTTTTCGGAAATTATAGAAAAGGTTACGTACTGTTAAGGCGTTGTAGAAGAGTGTTGAGTATCAGTGTTACTGTAGGTATAAGTAGTGGCCTCTCCAGGGCCCATTTGGACTCGGACTTCACCCAGAAAGCACATGCGTTACTTAAGGCTTGGTAGTAATGTGCTAAGTAGTAGTAGAGGAGCGCCTCCCCCCTCCCACCACCCCGAGAGCTCACGAGTTAAGCAAATGGGTCCTATTTAACTTAATATGATATGCCATAATTGGATTTTAAGGGACAATATATGAAACACTACACCGTTTCTGATATATGTAAACTGCAGTACATTATATAGCATTGGAAGAGCTTTCCAACGATACCAAACACGAATACTTTTGGTGAGTTTATATACTTATTCTTATTTTATGCACATTTTAAGTATATTTTGCGGTTATTTTAAAACAAATAACACTTATTTTTGAATTATGTTCCATTCTGGCATGAGTGACAGTAGTTTTTATATGTCTGGTTTGTTGCCTGTATAGAAATTATGAGTTTAGACACCAACATCATATCTGAGCTTATTTAGTTCCAATTATATGCACATTTTAGATAAATTTGGAGGCCATTTTGAAAAATGGCCGCCATTTGTATACAAGGTGAAAAATCAAGTGTCAACAGGGCTTAGGGTGACCAGGACGGATTAATTAGGATATCTGGCTATGTTGACTGCTTCTAACATTCCACTTCCCCTAACTTGATTTTTAGGCCTCTTTTTTGATTTTTTTCCTAGTCTATTTGGCTGCTGTTTGTGTATTTCCTTTTATAAATAAATAAAACATTATGATCCGTGTTGTAGCTAGCTTGATTTGAGTGCCGGTTATTACGCAGTGGAATTCATTAATAGGGCTAGCCTATAATAGTATGAGAGACAGCTGGCAAGCTGCCGTACAAGTGTTGGCTGCCATTCATGATTTGGAACTGTAAGAATAGGTTGATAACCGGTGCAAAATAGGCCGCATCAAGAATTTAAGGATCTTTCCACATCGGAATATACGGATATTATATGAGTGACATATTTAACTGATAAGTTAATTAAAGTTTACATAAATATTGTGCCGGTCGGATTTTTAAAATTTGCTCTGTCCCAGTTACCAAATGCTAGTGCTGGTCATACCTGGTCAGCGTCGACCGGCGTAGCTCCAACACTATTATTATTATTATTATTATTATTATTATTATTATTATTATTATTAATATTATATTATTATTATTATTATTATTATTATTATTATTATTATTATTATTATTATTACTTTGGGTTCCTTTTAATGTATTTGTAAAGGAGATCAAATTAAGTTGAACAAGAATATTCCCTATATTGTGGGGGTGTGCGCTCGAGTTTGTATGTGTACACATTTTATACAATAGCGAGTGATTCACTGCACTTCGATATTAACCTACATGAAGGTAATACTATTAGGTTAGCCAATTAAATAGTATTAAATTTTGTTTAAATTGATTATAGTTAAAGCTCAAATGTTAATAAGAAAATAACAACATTAACACTGCACTCTATATAATACAATATTGTGATTATGTATGGGTATTTATATTGCGCTTTTCCCTTGCGGTTATGAAGATTTTAGGTCGGAGATGAAAAATGTAAAGTTCATGCCCAAGTATGACACTCTCAGTTCATTTTTCTTCTGACTGATTTTAACGCAACACCAAGAGTCCCGAAGTCTGAACCAGATCTCATCTGGCCAATTTGGCTAAATTAGATGCAACACCGGTGGTGGATCTAAAATATAAATTCAAAGTAAAGGGGACTTAAAACTTTCACAGATGTAGGGTGTAGATCACTGCTGTGATAAGAAAATTATGATTATGGCACATCTAGATGACTGAAAATGGCACTCTCTGCCACTGAAAAATAACAGTGTACGTGGAGGAGGTTGCAGACTGTCAATCAGTGATTCTGTCCAAAGAAAAAAAGTCCTTTGTGACCTAAAAAGATAAAAATTTACAACGTTAAAGAACTAACAAAAATTTGCTGGTATATCCATACTGACTATATATTCTCTTTCTTTCAGAAAATCTACAATGAATCAACATAAAAAGATCTTCTTCATCTGTTTGCTGATAATGAAGACAGCTTCACAGTTTTGTCGAGAAAGTGATAAGACACCCACTTGTGACAATACTGCAGGATGTATTTGCGACTCCTCGGTTTGCATTAGCAAAGAGCCCCCTTGTCCTGGCCAGAACAATGTTACTATTATTGAACCAAAGTTTGGAGAAATACCACCATATGCTTTTGAAAACTATGGACCTCTCGTTAACTTAGAGATTGCTGGAGGCATAGTGAATACTGTGAGTTCTAAAGCATTTCGGGGGCTGAGCAATCTAAGAGAATTGAGTTTGCGAGATAATTTCATTCGATATATAAACAACCAAACACTCAAAGGTCTAAATTCGTTGAGAAGTCTCGATCTTTCTGGCAATCAAATTGATGATTTAGAAGAAGGAACATTCAGTGACAGCAAGATGCTCAGGACACTAAATCTGGATAGAAATACACTGAATGCTCTCCAGAGGAACACGTTTGCAGGTTGCCATCGACTTCAGTTTCTCCGCTTAACCAGCAACGGCATCAGTTCTATTGAAACTGGAGCTTTCAGTGACCTTGGAAGTCTGCAGGAACTATATCTGGGAGATAACTACCTTGCTATCATTGGTGCCAATATATTTACTGGACTCGCATCACTCAAAGATTTGTATCTAAATACAAACTCTATTCAGGTATTAAGTCCAGGATCGCTGGAACCTTTGAAAATGCTTCAAACCATTGATCTATCTTTGAACAAATTACCTTCTATTGGGAAGACTTTTGGGTCTTTGAGGAATCTCAGAACAATCTTTCTGGATTTCAACTCAATTGAGAAGGTTGATGATGGAACATTTACAAATCTTACATATCTGGAAACAATCGACCTATCATACAATAGAATGGTCTCCTGGTCGTTTCTGAACTTGCCTGCTACATCAAATCTTAAGGCACTAAGTCTATCGTACAATAAAATTTCTGATGTTCTATACCCTACCAGTTCACCCGAACCTCAGTTTCCGAAGCTTCAATACTTGGATTTCTCCGGAAATTTACTTCAAACATTTCCAGCATTCTTCTTAAAAGAGGCTCCATTACTTGGTCACCCTGATGTTGCCGATAACAGCATTTCTTCTAAACTTGACCTCAGAAAAAATCCCCTGGCATGCGATTGTGATTACAATATTTTGAATGACTCCCTAGAACAACTGGAAATAACTTGTGTTCAAAATGCATCGATACAATGTGGCAATGTCTCTATTGCTGAACTGATGCCATCAAGTTTGGATGCTAATGATGGTGTCTACTGCCAGGTGTCTGGTAGTCCACTCCCAGAGGTCATTTGGAAGAATCCAGATAGCCACATAGTGACAGGCTACTACAATGTCGCTGGAAAAATCACATGGCTTCCTCAAGACATCAAGAATGTAGGTGACTATATGTGCATGATATACAAGGAGGATGACGAAAAGCTGCGACAACAAGAAATAGACCGAAATTCTTCACCTGCTAAATTAATACCCTTATCAATTGAAATCATGATTATCATTACAACACTGTACATAGTAAAATAGAATTTATCATATTACAATAGGACTACTGAGGAGATTCTGACAAATTTGTTGAAAAATTGTTTCTTTTGGAAAAGAACTACGAGTGTTTACAGAACATTCTAACCAAACACAGGGGTCCCAAGCATTCCGGAAGTCGCGGGAGTCTCCAGGAAATCGGGAAGGCCTCCTGCACTCCCACGAGCAAGCAAGAATCTCCTGGAAAGTAAAATATCTCCCGTAAATTCACGATATCTGCATGTATATGAGCGAGTCGAATGGCCGAGCGGTTAAGGCAGGGGCACCGTCATAGCCAAAAATAACGGCACGGGTTCACGGTCGCCTCGCTTCTAGTTCCGGTGTTAGAACAAGTCTTCTCGGATAAGGACTACTATATAAACCGTAGGCCCAGTGTACACAAATGCTCATGAGCACTTTAAAGAACCCAGTACATCTTTCAAGATGAGTAGGAATTTACCCCGGTGTACTGGTTCACTAGGTCCCTGTCGTGGACAGATGGAACAGCACCGGTTTACCGGCTGCAGAGAACAAGAAGCGACCCTCAGGGAGGAGAAAGTTATTGAAAAGTGCAACATCTAGTCCACTGCGTCACGAGCAACGATTGCTGGAATGGCACAATATCAAAAGAACGATTTGATTTTGATTTGATTGTTTTTACCAATTTTTAACACTGTATTATCAATTGTCTCCCAGATGTCAGTGCCTAAGGGTATCACTATCCACAGCAGAATACTTAGATGTGTCAAGAAAGCTCATTTAAACAGATGTCTCGGATGAAGATCCTTCCAATTTGGGACCCCTGCAAACAGTAGTATTAAAATGTAAATATTTTCCTAGCCAGAGTCCTATCAAATTTAGTTAAACTCAATGTATACTTTATACTTAGTGTATGTTAAATGCATACAGTAAGGAGAAAGCAGTATATACTGTAATTAGTAAACATCTTCATCTATGTTATTTTTTTGTAAATATTGTGCAATTCAGCCATAAGGCCTGGGGTGGTGCCAGCAGGGGAAGGGGAGGGGGGCGTGCCAGGGTCTCCAGTTAAGGATAGTTGGTCCCCCATCATAAATTTTGGGAACTACTACTATAAAATATAAATATGGCCGCTGTAACATCAATCAGTATCAAGGTATTTAACTGGTATTAAATTACCTAAACTACTGTATAAACCAAGCTTGTTTTTAATTTATTTTGTTTTTTGAAATTCATGTAGTACAGTATATGTACTGTACTATCTCAAAAAGAAGCCCATGGGCTTTTTTTCAAGACTAATTTTGCAAACTAAAGAGGGGGCTTCAATTCCAAATGGACTTCATCTCGAGATTAAACCCACTGGGCTTCAATTCGAGTTTTTACGGTAAAACGCTGGCAAAATATCAGGAAAATTCCTTTTTTTTTGCTATAAAATTTTATTTGACAAAAACATGTGACATGCCTTGGTCAACAAGACATCACTTCATGACCCTATATAGGCACATCATGACCATATATAGGCACATCATGACCATATATAGGCACATCATGACCATATATAGGCACACCATGACCATATATAGGCACATCATGACCATATATAGGTACATCATGACCATATATAGGCACATCATGACCATATATAGGCACATCATGACCATATATAGGCACATCATGACCATATATAGGCACATCATGATCATATATAGGCACATCATGACCATATATAGGCACATCATGACTATATATGGGCATCAAATTTTATAGACTGGACAGGGCTTTAAGATAGGATCAGTAGTGTAATGTTAAAAAAATTGTTATCAATCTTTTTTCCTAGAGCACAATTGCTATTCTACAATGCCCTACAGAACATAAATTCCATGAAAATAATTAATTATTGTTACATTTATTCGTTCATGAATTCATAATGGTATATTTAATAAACCATCATCAATAAAACAGAATTGAGATAATTTTTACAATTATCGTGTAAAAAAGGATTAAATATTAGGGGTCGTGCAAAAACTATTTTAACGCGAGTACCGCGTTATCGGCTGTTTTGTCGCTGATTTTCACTAACGCGGCATATGGGCGTGGCCTAATATTCACCGTTCACGAGCTAACGAAATAACTAATGAATATGCATGATAGCTAACTCATTCTGTCTACCGCGGCACTCGCGGTACGTCGTCCACGGGGTAGAAGTTTGTTGTTTACGTTTACGAAGAATTCTGTATGAGACAAATTCTGTACGAACCTACGAAAGGTTGATGGAGCACGTCGGCAATTTTTGTATTATATTTTACTTTCACCAGTCAGTTACAATCAAGTGTAAAAAAAAAAAAACGATCTAGGGCCTAGTCCAGCCATTAGAGTTAGGCTTAGAGCCGGCTTAGCTGGAGGGTACCTGTCTCTTATACACATCTTATCCACATTTTAAATGTTTAATTTTTCATTCAATTATGGTAACAAATATTAAAATGATATAG